TTCTTTCTCCTCGTTCAAAAAGTCTAAAAAGTTCTCCCCAAAAGAGAACCCTGTAAACATTTTTAAAATTACTCTGAGAAAGTAGGAATTCTGGACTCTCTTACTTCCGCCCTAAACACCTCTCATTAGCTTTCTAGTTTTCTACCTCACGTCTTAAAGGGACTGTACGCTTAATTTCAAGTGACCCTCCGTGTAAAACTTTGTCTGATTATCGCTCCTGTATGCCGAGTCCATTAGCGCCTGATCCAATCAGGGTTCCGTCATGTGTTTGTTGTCTATTCTGAACCAAAAGAAATAGTATGGCGGTAACATCAATCTTTCTATCTATATCATTATCCAATTAGAGTTATGAATCCTTCAATCGGCGCTATCAGTAAATGGAAATATTTTACTGCTACTATAACTATGGTGTAATGCTTGAAAAAGATATCAATGTTTATAATTTTGAAAACTGATGATTTTCAGTTGATTCTCTACATAAAGATTATTTGTGAATTTCTGTTGCAGGAAAACATATAGAAAATAACAGAAATAAAAGCTAATAAAACGACAGCATCTTCCACATTATTGATCAGATAAAGATTTCTAGGGTACCGTTGTGAATCGGGCATTGTTAAATGAAAACTGTTTTCTATAGGATAATGTTGACATTTTTTGTTGCAGCCGCATATAAATGGAAAAATTATAATTTTAAGGTTCTCTTTAATTGACAAATATAGTGCAGAGGAAACGACATTTTTTTTATTTCAACTTATTCAAATTGGCAATAATTGTCTTGAATTTGCATAATTGCATGACTACCTGTTTTTCTGTAAATGTCTGCAAATTTAAAAATGCTTTTAGATCCTTTAAAGCAGCCACATTGCTAACAATATCATCTGCAGCTGTACCATCGAATTAGATAATATTGAATCCTAAAATATTTGTTAAAATATTTTGTTTACCTTACAAATATACAATGTCAACTAAAGTCGTAATTTGTCCACTTAAAATATCAACTTTCTCTTCTTTATTAAAATGGTAGATATTTCCGCATCACAAGAGTTCAAATCCATTCTGTCTTATGAAACCTCTTTTAGATTTAGTTAAACCTATATAAAAGTAGCCCTGGTGGGACAATATAATATTTTTCATAAATTACCAACACGGAGCAAAAATTGTTCAATTGAACTTACAAACAAATTTTATGAAATTTTTTAAAAAGATTTTTTTTAAATGGGTCAGACTTAGCGCGAATGGGTCTTGAAATTAACAATCACCATTTTTTCCCCAACATGTCGATATGGGTGTCAAAAGTAGCACCTCGAACCACTGAATATTGCTCAGTTGTTGTTTTTTTGAAATTGTGAATATTGGATGATCTAGGGCGAAAAACTATTATTTTTGAAGTACTCTGGCAAATTTCCCCTATGTCCGTTTTTTGCTTATTCAATTTTTAACCAATTTTAAATGTTTTTAAAATTTTTTAATACAGTGTTTCAAGACGGATGTTTAGGTTCCCATATCGGCATATTTTGAAAGAAAAAAATATTTTTCCTCGCACTAATGATTTAATATTTACAAAAACGTGATGCACTGGATGAAGTTTAAAAGTGAGAAAAAAAATTACATTTGTGTTTTGCTTTTTTTTGCAGAAACTTTTAAGACACGTACTGAAAGGATTTGAAGTTTGCCAAATTGTCCCACCCCTTTTAAAAGTATTATTTTGAACTTAAGGCTCAATTAAGATATTTGAGTCTGTGTTGGTTGAATTTGCGTTTGCCGAAAATGTCCGAATAAATGGCGGACAGATAATTTAACCGCTGTGCATTTATAACCTGTAATTTAACCGCTGTGCTTTTATAACCTGTAATTTTACTGCCAAATTACAAGTTGTTAAAATTAAGCCTGTCTGCGGTAGACGGGATAATTATTTAACAGAATAAAATTTAATAAGATGGAAGAAAGTAACAATTTATATAAACAAAAAAAGATTAGTTATAAGGATAGAAAAAATTTTTTTAAAAATATTTCAAAAGTTTAATTATTTGTTGATATTGTTGTTCCCGAAAGTAATAAAAATGAAACAAAACGACTAAATTTCTTGGAGACTGAATAGAATCATTCTGAAAGCAAGAAAATAATAACAAAGAAATTGAGTTTTTGCCACAACCTCAAATTTTTTTATCCGTATTGCTTTGCAACTTGATGATGTAAAATTTTGATATTTCAAACTTAGATTAATTGATATAACACAATTCATAGTTTGAAATGTCTAAGGTCTACGACATTGGATTGAAAAGATATAGGAATTAGAAAATGAGAATTTGACAAGATAGATCCATTATATTCCTTTTTATTATCTTTATTATAAACTATTATTATTTTATTTATATATTGATTTCTACCTTACTAATTCATGTATACTGTTTAAGTTTGTTTAAATTATATTGTTAAGGGGGGGTGAAATTAGCCCAAAAAAAGCAATAATGATTATGGTTTTGGTCAATTATGATATTTCGTTTAAATAAGATTTTGGCCCTATACAAAGTTGTGAACATTTTGTTAGCCTTTAATAAATAAATGTTACGAATATATCACGCATATTTAGCAAGACATAACTGTAGACAAAAAATGTTGACATTTAATAGTTTTAAAAATGCCCCATTTTGAAAAGAGCAATATCCACCAAAATATTGAAAAGCAACAGTCAACAGTTAAAATTGTTGATAAAGAAAGGTAAAAACGCACATAAAGCCTTGTGTTGTTATAAAATTACAAAAGTAAAATGAAAGAAAGAAAATTTTGACATTTTCTAAAGAATTTTTAACTCGATGTTTTATTTATTATCGTTATACCAAGCTAATTATCTGTATCTATCTACTTAAATCTCTGTTCCTTTATCTTCCCTCAAAAGTTTAACTTTCCACACTTTTCTATCTTTGAAGTCGTAATTTGTGTGTACTAAGGAAAGTTAAACAAGGATATATGGGGGGGGGGGCGGAGAACACTTCAGTCAGCTTTTAAAGGCATTGTAGACGTAATTTCAAATTTAAGATATTTCTTGAAATTTCATCTACAATCCCTTTACAATATACATTCTTGGTTATCTACACAAAGATATACATTGTAAAATGTATGATGACATTAAAATCTTAAATCATACCTAGTACTCCCTAATTAGTGAAATGTTTTTAACCCTTTTAAATTGAACATATTTCTGAGGGAATTCTAAAACTTCTAATCTCTTATAGAAAAGATCTTTGCTCATATACAGGGTGTCCCACGAAACATGACAATAGGAAGACGACTTGAAAGTCGTCTTTGATATTTGAATTTACTTGTGACGTTTAGTCTTCTATCTACTTTAACATGTATGATTCTTGAAACAATTATCACATAATTCTCCTAGCCCTGGCATTTCCAAAAAGTGGTCTGCGTTTTTTGTGCTTTCAATATTACCGGAGATATAAAGAGTTTGGTTCAGATTTCAATTTTGTTAAATAAAAGCAAAATTGTCGAAATCTGAACGAAATTCTTCATATCTCCGGCAATATTGAAAGCACAAAAAAGGCAGACCACATTTTGGAAATGGCAGGACAAGGGAAATTTTGTGATTATTTTCTCTAGAAATTTACTTCTAAAATTAGGTTGACAAATAAACGCAGCAAATTATATCAAAAAATCAAGACGACATTCAAGTCGTCCTGCATACTGTCATGTTTCGTGGGACACCCTGTATATATATATAATTGTATTTATTGTATACATTATATGTTAGCTATACCTGGCCAAATGGCCAAACAAAATTGGCTAAATTTTTTTAGAAAACCCATCCGGGGACCTGGGGGTTAGGCAAAAAATAGATTTTTTTAAATCTAATTTTTTTTCTTCAAAACTCTTAATTTTTTTCCTAAATACACTTCCGCTTACAAAACTTGGAAAGAAGAAAGTTAAAAAAAATATGGGGTGCAGCTTTGGTGTTTTTTTTATAATTTTATAAATTTTAAAATATTGAAATATTGAAAAGATTAGTTTTATTATCTATACTGACTGACCGGAGGATGTTTTTAAACTAAAAAACAAAATATCCCAGATTTCCTCAGATTTCAGGGTCACAATATCATGGGTGTCAAATTCAAGTGTTATATGGTGTGTTTACAACTTGAGAACACACCATATTCAGAAAATAGGGGGGGGGGAAGGGGGATGGGAAAAGATGAAGATAACTGACTTTTTAAATTCAGTGATAAAAGAAGCAATATCATGACTTTTAAAATTTATAGGTAAAAATTCGAGGGTAGGAGAAGATGGTTTTACAAATTTTGAATTTTGTATTTAAATTAATAAAAGTTAGAACTTTAAAATCTCTCTGAAACAGGAAGATCTGAAGTGGAATAGATTTTGGAGGAAAACCACAGAATTTAAATTAGCAAT